GGTACTTGATGCCAACAAAAAAGTATGCTTATTTCTTGGTTTCATTACTTTGAAAAAATTGTTAAAGTTAAGTCTACTTAGTTCCTTTTAAAGCAATCGGAAAATTAACTAGAGTTTATAACAAATAAGCACTTCCTCGCCTCTAAGGCTTTAGTGGTGAAGAGTTGTAACATCGGAACTTGTGTAAAATCTTTCTTTAATTAAAAGGACGATGAACACCTTTCATTGATCAAATTGGGCTTTTTTTAAGGACCAAATTAGTTATAGACCATAATTAGTGGCCTAATTGTTTTTTTTTTTTTGGATGAGTCTTGGTGTCTTTCAAATTAATATAAAACAAAAAATATTGGGACTTGTAGCTTGTAATTTTGATTCATACAAGTGTCTTTTTCCAACAAAACGAGTATTAGACCTTCGAATTGTGTAGATTGATTTTTTTTTTTTTTTTTTTGTAGTTAAAAATAAAAGATTCGAATATGATAAAGCTTGCCTTTTCAATTATCTCCTATGAAAGAAATTGACGAGGATCACTTTTATTACAATGATTTAACTTTGCTATTTGAATGCAAAAGAAAGAAGTCTATCAAAGGAAGCTAAATACAAAACCAATCAATAGAAAAGCTACATATGCTTTTAGAAAATTTGTATCTTCTAAATCCATATATTTCTCAACAACATAATTGCTATAAAATTTGAAAGTTCCCGAAAGAAACTTTTGCTAAGAAGAGTGCACAAAATAAGGTTTTTTCTTTTTATCATAAACTTTGTAAATCGAAATATGTACAAAGATGATGAAGATGCTTCATTGCACTTAAATGACTTTTAAAAATTCATGAATCAGTTAACATTAAAGATGATGAAAGATAATATTCTAGTACGCAACTCACAAATAAGGATGAGTGGTGACTTCCCTGTGATTACTTATTTATTATTAATTTTTTTAGATGATTTGATTTATCCAGATAACCTTTAATTGACTCATTCTTAAAAAAAAAAAAAAACCACATTCATATATTAGTATATATTTAAATTATAAAAATACATAGTTATTTAATTATGACAAAAATAAAAATAAAAAGACATTAATAAAGAGAGACTAAGCATCTTACTTGAATTGGATTAAATATGATAATTAAAAAAGAAATTGAATTACATAATGAATACATGAATGAGGCAAAGATTTTACTAAAACTCAACAATCTCTATCCCTATTTCAATCCCAAACGCACTCCACATTATTTCCAAGTCTATAAAAACAATTTAGTATTCACATTCCTTTATTGAAAACAAAATTATAATGATATTTACATTTGACACCGATTTTGATGAAATCGAATTCTCTACTCTCGAGACGAAAGGGGAATGAAGGCGAATAAGGGATGCCGTCATTCCGCGCTCCCTCGAGACGACTCGCGAATTTTATTACGAATTGTACTCGGTGCATTCGGACATGTGCTTGTCGTAGAAGTTTGACGACAGTTGTGCTTGACATGGCGGGCATGATAAACGAGAAGCTATTTTGAAAGAATTGTATTTATATCAAATAATAATAATAATAATAATAATAATAAATGCAAAATAATTTGAGAGAAAGTTTCGACGAGAAAATAAAAGAGAAAAATCATAATTCACTAGCATGAATAAAAATATGTGTTATCAAATAAAACAATTGAAAAAAAGTTGATGGAATATTTGATTGATAGTTTTTTTTTTAAATCAATATATTTAAACGAAAATAAAATTTATGCACTCGATTAAAAAAATATTAAATATTAGTGTATTTATAATATAATTATTATATTATTTAATAAACCTTAAATAATCTATTTTTTCATATAAAAGTGAGATTTATAAAAATTTTCGATGTAATTTATATGAGGTTAATTACAATTTTTGCTCTTATTTTATCATGATTTAACAATTTTATGTCCTTAATATCAAATTAAGTAATTTGAACACAAAATTATTGGTTTTTGAGCAACATTAATGCAACTTTTCTAATTGTCATTATATGTAATAGTCACTTGGTTTGCCTAGTACTTAGAATATCAAAACTACGTCATTTTAACATTCCGTTATTAATTATTTTTTTTAAAAAAAATATTTTAAAAATATTTTTAACCCCTTAATCTTGAACTTTTTTTAAAAAATTTTTTTTCTTATAAATATTTTATAATTATATAAAAAATATTTTATAAATATTTTTAACCCCCTAATTTTAATTTTTTAAAACTTTTTTTATAAAATATTATAAATATTTTATAAAATATTTTTTAAAGACACGAAATTGTGTATTGTTAATTATTTTTTTTACAATATTTTTTATAAAACGTTTACAATATCCAATGAGCATTAAAATGCTTACAATATAAATTATAATATTTTATAAATTAAAATGAGTATAATTAAGGTTGACCCCCTTAATTTTATAAATTATAAAAAAAGTTCAAAACTAGGGGGTTAAAAATATTTATAATATTTTATAAAAAAGATTAAGGGGTTAAACATATTTTTAAAATATTTTTGTAGAATAAAACATAAATAACGGTAGAATTTCAACACAACGTTGTTTTGACATTTCATGAAATGGTTAGCTTAATTGACAATTACATATAACGATAATGAGGAAAATTGAATCAATTTTATCAAAAAATCAATAATTTAAAGTTCAACTTACGTAATTTGATATTAAGGATTTGAAATTATCAAGTTATAATATAACGAGGGTAAAATTTGTCTTGAAACCAATTTATACGAGGGGAGAAGTATGGGTTTTTATATGCTAATCAGTTGTAAACCCCAACTAATTCATATTTAATTAAACAAATCTATGTTAGCAGGATAGTTGTAGAAAAAATTAATAGTTAATTTTCTTTTTTATTTTTTTTTATCATCACAAATAAAGTTATGCTCTTCTAAAAATCAAGAATTTATTTATTTTTATTATGGCGTGAATGAAGAGCTTTTCAACTCATTCATATGATATTGAGTTGACAAGAGAAAATTCGAAAAGTGCAATTTTAGATATACTTAATAATTTATCCCTTAGAATTTCTTGTGAATTATTAAATTAAATGAGTACAAGTATAGACACCATGCACATTATATTAAATGAGAAAGGAATTTCATGTTATTTCTTTCGAGAAGAGAGGATCGGGAAAATCCTATTGATTGCAGTTTTTTTCGATTGCTTTTAATTAAATTAAATCCTAAAAGGGTTAAATTATTGTAGGTGTCATTATTGGACGAGTCTTATTCTTTTTTGGGAAAGAAATTTTTTTTGACACTTCAATTTTAATTTCTATAAATTGATGATTTACTAAATTTTTTTTTGATGTATTCAGATTTGATTCGTGCAAAATACTCTTTGAGTAATATACTGGTAAGGATTAATTAATATATCCTAATGAATATAATATAATATAATATAATAGTATATTTTACTCTTAATTAGATAAAATAAGATCGTTAGATAAATTTATGAGTCACTAGAAACTAATTTTTTTTTCCAAATAATTTTAAAGATACATTATCCATATTAGTACGGAAAGCTATTACCAACATTTTATAGCTCGAGAGCCAAAACTTATGAGAGTGTGAGACTTGAAAAAAATTATCTAGAAAATAATTACAACAGAATTCCATCCTCTTAACATATCTTTAAGTAATTAAAAAAATATGAAAAGATCCCTTTTGATTATTATTATTATTATTATTTTATCATACGTGAATACGCTGATCTTTAAGCAATCAAAGCCTTTTTGAATATGAAAAGATCCCTTAGTTGTACTTCTTTCTAAATCTTTATACCAAAAAATGATTTAAAAATGTTTTTTTAAAAAAAATCATCAAAATTTCTTAATAATTAAAGCATTTTACAGTCACAGCCATAACAACCAAAACAAACCCAGCAATATATATTTACCAAGCTGTAATTCTCCTCCTATTGCTTTAATCTCTTACCCTTCAATATTCCTTTAACCTGTCTGCAACTGAAAAAAACAAAAGGACTCCATTGTTCTGTCTTAACTCTTCTTAACCTACCAAGCCCTCTGTGTCTCTACAAAACCCTAATCCAGAATTAACCCAATTTGGCATTTGATTGTTCAAGCCAGCTTCTTTGAAAGAAAAAGGTGAGTTCTTTCTCCCTTCTTCTTAAAGTTTTCAAAGTTGATGTTAAAAAGTTTTGATTTTGAAGTTAGCTGCAGTCTGGGTTGTTGCTTATTGTTGATTAATGGAAATAAGGAGGGTCATTTTGTGAGGAAAAAGAAAAACTGTTAATTTTTTTTTTCGTAATATGTGTCAAACTATTTGATAGCTGGTGTTCGAAAGGACTGTTTGTTTATAGGAAAGTTGTGTTTTTGATGTCTTTTTTTTGGGCTCTAGAGCTAGGAGTAACAACTGGTTCTTGATGATTGGGAACTGAAAAGGTAGTAGTGCCAGAGAAATGTGATTTTAGGAAGTGGGCATGTGCTGAAATTGTTAATGCAAAACTAGAGGGTGTTGTTTGAATGATGTCGGTTTTGAAAAGCTTGCTGTTCTGTGAAAGCATATTATATCATCAATGTTATTTCCTTTTCTGAAGTTATTATTTTTTTCTTTTTTATGCTGTTTCTTAGTTTTATTGCTTTATTTAGGAAGGTAAATGAATCATTTGACATATTGGGTTATTTTCTGTGAATATGATTGGAGATAAAAGTTGGGAATGGCAGACTACAATTGTTTCATGTGGGAATTCCAAAGTGCCCTTTGTAGGACCTTTAGATGACTGCATTCTTGTTATTATCTGCAAAGTGCCCTGTAATATGTCTTTTCATTTGAAATTAGTTGACAATTTTAAATGAATAAGTTCCTGAGTTTAGGGCAATTGAAACAAGTTTTGATTTTTAACAAGACGGCTAATAGTTTTGGGATTGTGACTGATGCCCTTGTTCACTTCTGCTGTTCATAAGGTGCTTTATTTCTGTTTAAGCTCAGGCAACCATCACAGTGACAATTTCATGGCAGGCAATGGCCTGCCATCTTTGGGCCGTGTGAAGCTTAGCGATCTAGTTCCCTCTGAAGGCCTTCCTACTGACTCTTATAAACTATCTGTAACAACTTTGTCGCAATCGCTTGTCCAATATTCTGCTGCTATCATTCAGTTTTCATCAAGCGATGGAGCTCTCTTAAGATCTGGTTTGGATTCTGCTCGCTTGTATTTTCATCAACGATCGTCATTTCCAGCTCCAGATATGATTCACACCAACGATTCTCGCGAATGGTGCAAGACATCGGGTTACTACACGGATCCTCAGCTGTGGCAGGAAACCTATGATTATAGACCTGGACTGACTCCTATAGAGCCCAACAATACAATGGAAATTCCTCCAGGAGGTTTGCCTGACATATTTTCCTTGCTTGGAAAGGCAGCGAGGGATATACTGGATGCCATCAGCTTCTATTTAAACTTGCGTAGCTCACCATTTACTGAAATACTTGATAACATTCCCTTGAGAAACAGGGAAATATCGTCTTCTGTGTTGTCTGTTTGCTGTCATGCAAGGCCATCTTTTCAGGTTGCACAACACCATAATTTAACAACCCAAGAGGATGGGCAGCTGGTTATGTATCCAGACCATGAGCACCAAGTGGATAAAAGCCTAATATCTCTTGTCAAGTCAGATAAGGCAGGTTTACATGTAAGAGACGTTCATGGTCGGTGGGTTCTTGTGGACGGTGATCTTGGTCCTCAAGAAGCCATTGTTTACCCTGGTCTTGCTCTCTACCAGGCAACTGCAGGCTATGTCAACCCGGCACTGCTCAGAACAGAGGTTAATAGTATGCAGGGTAACATGTATGGACGTTGTTCTTTGGCTTTTAAACTTATGCCAAAATCTATGACTAGTCTCAATTGTTCGGAAATGAGAGCTGCTGGCCATGGTGTTGAAGCTCAATTTCAGCTACCGATACCAGTGGATGATTTCATGCAGAGATCCCATCCCACTGATCAGCTCTTTAACAGACATAATTTTCAGAGTTTCAGTTTCCCTACGGCGCAGAATGGTATGCAACACTTCGATAGCGTCCCTGTTTTGGTTTCTTAACTAGCAAATTAATATAGTTGTTAAAATGCATCATAAATTTATTGCACAAAGCATATGACATATGCTAGCCTTGTCTTTCTGATCCATTAGGCTCTTCATATGGAGTGGAAAAAACTCTGCTTTGGAATTGTGTTGTTTCTTAGAAAATCATTGATCAGTGAAACAATAAGAGTTTGTAATTTTTATCTGCTTTCTTCTGTTGTGTCTATCATAGTTATTGCATTTTCTGTTGTAAGTTCATCAGTGGAACAATAAGAGTTTGTGATTTTTATCTGCTTTCTTCTGTTGTGTTTGTCATAGGTTTTGAAATCAGTATCCCACTGTTTGGTTAATAGAGTTTCTATTTATGCTTAATCCTGATCTGTATGTTGGCTTATCTTCATTTTGGAATTTCACCTCTCTTTTTTTCGTTCAAATAGCCCTTAGTGAGTAGTTTTTAACAGCAGGTCCTTGGATCGATGACATGCTGGTACAGGATCTATGAAGCCCTTGATGAGGAGGAGGAAGAATAATTCAAGATGCAAACCTCTACCACCCTCAAAGAGGCTAAGGCTCGAGGCCCAGAGGGTTCTGAAAGAAAGAGTTCAGGACATTGCAGATAAGAAGGGCATCAAGCTAAGATTCTGCAACCTGAAAGAGTGTGAGAATCACGTTCATGCCCTAGATAGCCCATGTGCAAACATAAGAATGGAGATTGGATGGCCTCCTGGAGTGCCATTTGTTCATCCCCATGATTTACCAAATAAGGCAAAGATTAGTTTTCTTGAAGCTTATGAGCCTGGTGCTACTCACGATATGGAGTTGAGTTTGACAGACCCTGGACAAGGCAGTCAACTCGCGTCCAACTGTAACTGTAAATCTCCTCTTATATCTAAATAGCCCTCTATTATTCATAGTAGATGTCCTTCTATGCTTAAACATAAGCATGGCTGCATGTGCATGCACGAATGCATCTTTCCCCCTGTTTTATTAATCCTATGATCCCCATCTTCAACTCCAACTTCTATCTCCACATGAGCTCACATAGATTTTTGTATGTAATAAAGCATCATTTTGTTTGTGTTTCTGTTAATATACTTGTGAGTGGTGTAGGGAGGGAGGGATGTTTTTATATCTAACACATTTTTATGCTCTTTCTTAAAGACATGTCTTCATTCTGTGTCTGCAGGAATCAATTTCTACTGTTCTAAGAGGGTGGCAACCATTGATCAGCTGATGACCATACGGACTTAATTGATCTTTATAGTTCTCTTTATGGACCATTTAATCAGGAGGCTTCATACAGGCTTGGCGCTATCGTGGTTCTCCAGAAGTGTAGAGGGCATTTTAGTTACAAAATCACTGAGGATATTCCAAACTCAGTTCATTTGGCTGGATTCTGCCCAGTGTCTAAATTCAAAAGATCTTTAGTCATGTTTAGTTATACTTAAGAACGTTAGTAGTTGGATCTGTACAAATCACCAGTAGAGAGAGTTGAAATCAGATGTTGTATACTTCCTGGCCCTGTAATATTTTTATACGAATATAACTAAACAGTCACTATCACAATTCCATGTCTTTGTTATTTTAACCAGCTGAAAGCTGAACTCTGTTTCTGCATTTGGTCAGGAGTCCAAGAACAGCCTTGTTTGGTATCTTCATTTTATTTGTCATCAATGAGCATTAAAATTTATTATCCTAATAATTTTCTTTTGAAAATAAATTTAGAAAGATAAGAATGAGGAGAAAAGAAGCTACCTCGAAGAGTAAAAACTGCAACTATGGATGGTAATACATTCAATTTTTGCTGTTAACAAAAGCACTTGGCTTTCACAGATACATGATCCATCTACTGCTTCGAGTACAGTTTGAAGGAACAGAAGCCAGAAGAGATACTTGAAGGATGTCGATACACCCCCTCTTGATCCATTACAAATTAGTGAAGGAATGTCTTCAGCAAGGAGTGCCCACTGCCCATAGAAGTTTCTATTCAATCCTCCTGCCTCTGCACGTCTACCGAGCAAACCAGAAACAGGCAGAGGTGAAACTTGCTTCGTTTGCCAACCAAACACCACAGCCATGTGGACACGGTTAAAAGCTTTCAGGTCCTCGAGCAAACTTATTTTCAGCTGCCATATGGAGGTTGGTTCTCAAAAGGGAGTTCAATAGGTGTTGCATTACCATAGAATTCCTCCAAGTTGTAGAAATCTCTCTGCGGAGGAAGAAATATATGGATTACCACATCACCTGGAACAACATTCAAGTCAAATTACATTGATCAACAACACCAAGAAATTTATCGTAGTGGAAATAACAAAAGCTCAACCGCCAACCAACTATCAAGAGAAGAAAAGACTAGATTACCTGTACCCATCTCAAGAGATCCTAAATACTAATATTTCAGCGACAATATCAAGGACAAGGATGCCAAGAAATTATCAGCTGACCAGCATATGACATCCTTCCAATTTTTTATGCAATTTGAGGATATGGCTATGTTCATAACTGTGAAACTCAAGTATTATGTTTTTTGTTTTGGTTATATTTCCTTGTTGAGTTAATTTCATATAACCAGAAGCCACTGGGTTGTCATTCAAGAACTTACCAAAGTCCAACAGGGTCCATGAGTTGGGTTTTGAGTCCCCCGATGGAACTTTTCCATACTTCTTTTCAGCAAGATCTCTTATTTTGGAACTACAAGGGAGAAAACATCATCTCAGGCATTGCTCCAAATATTGACATCTGTAATCTATATCAACCAAATGTCAAAAAGATAATGAAATGAAAATAGAAGTTAATACTTGATAGCGTCAATCTGAGGACGTGAAAATGCTGTTGCAATGATAAAAAATCTAGTCCAGTACACAAGAGGCTTTACAAAGAGGACCCTTATATCTGAAGCCTTAACATCACTTGCAACCTTGGCCATTTCGACAGCAACTACCACCAAAAATAGAACAGAAGAGAAGAAGAAGGATAGTCAATCATAGGCGTAGTACATAAAAATGGAAGGATTATATGGAGATTGCTGAAGCATGTGTATGCATAACTGCAATATGCATGTCTTGCTCAGAAAAGAACCCAGTGAACATCAGAAGCACATGAATCATTTACCACAAGGAAACAAGAATAAAAACACCAAAGTCCCAAAGAGAACTGAAAGACATCACAACTAGCTGAACTGCACCAACACAACCAAGACTTGGCCGAAGTTGATAGACACATAAGTCTCGTTATAATGAAGTTGTTTTCTTAGCATAAAAGCGATCCTTCATCTTCAAATGTCTTAAAAACACGATTTTCCAGTAACTTCAAGTACACAAGGAATGCCTGTTAGCAGCACTTGTGGAAAAAGCAGAACAGGGTTGGTTAGGAGCAATGCACAACGTCACAGGTAGCAAGAAATTTTTGAATGGTACAATGATGTAATTGAATGATATGATAGCAGTGACAATATGAGCCATAGTAACCACAAGACCAAGTAAGTGAAAGCAACAGGTAGTGTTCATTAGCAATAGCAATCAAACTAACATCATTATTATAATTGTAATCAGTACCAGGAAAATACAGTAGTAGAGCACAATAGTACAAAATTAGATATCTTAGATTAAGATACCTGACATCAGCCAACATTCATGTGCATAGCTGGAAAACTAGGTGCAGACAGATATTATTGTATGTACGTAAAACATAGGCAATAATATTGCTTTTAAACATGGGTGTTATAGACATACATGACAAGCTTTCAGCATCATCATCAACCTCTGCAGTAGGAGGTTTTGTGTCATTGCTCCTAAAGACCACCTCTCCATATTTATTGAATAAGTCATCAAACATCTCATCTGTATCTTCTACATTCTGCAAAGATATCAATCATGTCAGGAATGCTGCCTCGTGGGTACTGGAAGCACTCACCTTAACATCCAATAAGCGGATAGAAAGATAGATAAGCATTAATCATAATAATCTTCCAATTCCAGTCAGCACCACAGTAGAATGTAGTCAATACAGAGTGAGAAAAGAAAGAATGTCATGCATTCAAATAAACTGGTGTTAAAGGCCAAAAAAGCGGAGTGAATTTCTTTCAGTATCCATGACATGTAAACAATTAATTTTCTAGTGACAGTCAGATATTCCGTAACCTAATGAATATCAATTAACTTGGACTCCAATAAGAAGCTGAAAACTCTCCCTTTGTCCGGCATCTTATGCTTGTAATGTAGAATGCCTTAAATATTAACTCAAGCAAAATGTAAAAACAGAAACAAAAGCATGGTGAAGGCTAGATCTCATTCTACTAATCAAAACTTACAAAACTTGAGGGATGGCTCTGACATTCAGCAGGGGAGAAAAAGAAGAAAAGAAACCTCATGCAACATATTAAATGAAGGAAATACCATTTGATTTATTTTTTCACCTTACTAGCTTATTTATGACTACTGAAACATACTTTGCATAGAACAGTCATCCCCAAATTACCAGTAATCAGTATATTATTATCATAGAGTTTGACTATTAAAAATCCAAACACCTAAAGTACGGAATAAATAAAAAACAAGCATAAAAGTTGAACACGATGTAGTTGCATGACAATTCAATAAATGCATAAAACCAACCCCACAGGCTTATGAGGCTAACAAGTATAGATAACTAGGAATAAGAGAGTGTCCATTTCTTGATTCTATCCAGGATTCATTACAGTAAAAAGAAATAGCAGAACTGGAATTACTCAGACAAACAGAGAATGACCAAATAAATGTGACTCTCATCAGCAGCATACATATTTGGAGAGACGGATTTGCTATGTTTTAATCTGGTAACTGATGACAGTTATACACTTCTGACTTTTCTGTATGCACAACCATGGTTAAGGTATAGCATATTTGTAAAGGAAGAACAAACTCGAATCTGAATATGCTGTAAGGTTTTGATCACAAGTTAAAGAATTATGTGCTCAAGCAGCAAAAGCTAAGATAAGATAGTGGATCATGCTTGGACTAAAATCTTGATTAAGCACATATCAACTATTTAGACTGTAAAAGTGCCAATTACTATTTCAATAAGCTTTCTCCCAAAATTCAAAAGTGCCATTTGAAGGACAATTATGAGTGTCTTAGGCTTACAAACAGAGGTAAGGCATGAGACACAACGATCAACTATTTCTTTCAAAATGTAGAAGGAGACAACTAATCAAACTCAGCACGGTCTCTTCTCAAAATCAACACGAAAACAAAGAAGAATTTCAAAATTTTCCCAACATGAACAGTTTGTTTGATTGTATCTAATGGTCTCTCGAGACAAGAATTGGCAAAATTTCAGGAATGAAACAAAACACAAGTCAAACAGTACATATGTAAACAAAACTAGAATAGAACAAGTGATTCAAATACAAAGTCTCAGTGTTTCTAACGCTTTTTTCAATTTTACAAGTACCCAATTACACTATATCATTATCAACTTAACCTAAGCAAAACAATGAAAGTAAAAAGCAACACAGGCTCATAAATTTCTATCCTCACATCCACAGTTTTCAGCAGCAACAGTTCACATCAAACAAAAGCCAACATGAAATGAAGCACCATACCGAGAGAAAGCTATCATCAGAATCTTTGCGTAGAGCCAAACTTTTGTTGAAACTCAATTTCTCGGTTCTGATTTCTTGACAAAAGCACTTGTAATAATGAGGCAATCGGTGCCTATAAAAGCACAACCACTCAGCATGCTTTCTGGGTTTTTGAAATAGCCTAGCTTCCATATGACACAGTTGCTGAAACTCGCCGGAGAAGCGAGCGCCGGCACCAGCACCGGCTATGGATAAGGCGGTGGACACTGCCATTGTTGGTTTAGATATTAGAAGTAGATAAAAAAGAGAGGGAGATTTTGTACGAGGAGATGAGATAATTATAGTAGGAAGGTACAAACCCATACAGCTTGAGTGTAGTTGTTGCTTTTGCTTGTACGGCTTTTTGGAACAAACTACAGATCACTCCTCCAATTTTCACTTGATTTCATATTAGTCTCCAATAATTAAATTCTTTCTCTTTAACTATAACATTGCTACTTAGTTTGATTCTTGTCCATTAGGTTCAAACATATACAAATCTCATATGATAACTTTTATTCTCCCAAGGTTGGATAATCTAATTTTATTTTATTGAAGGGGTAAATTTAGTTATTATAAGATATACTAAAAAAAAAAATGAAAAATTGCTGTTTGTTCATTCACTGTTCGCTCTTTTTTTTTTTTTTTGTTGTATTTTTCAAGCTCCTCTTTTGGCTTTTATTTTAATTTTAGTCCTTGGTTTGTAATTTTTTTATTTTGATCATTAACATTTTATTATATTTAATTTTCATCCAATAATAAATATTAAAATTTTATTATATTTGATTTTTATTTCTATAATAAATATTTTTTTCTTGACTTTTAGAAATATTTTAAAAGAAAGCGAGGAAAATTCTCTGTTCATTCATTATTCGGCTCCTTTTTTTTTTTTTTTTTTCTTTCTCTTGTTGCATTTTTTAAGCCCCTCTTTTTTTTTTTTTGTATTTGTCTTTGGTTTGTAATTTTTTTTTTATTTTGGTCATTAACATTTTATTATATTTGATTTTCAACCCTTTAATAAATATTAAAATTTTATTATATTTGATTTTTGTCTCAATAATAAATATAATTTGATTTTCAACCCTTTAATAAATATTAAAATTTTATTATATTTGATTTTTGTCTCAATAATAAATATAAATTTTTTTATATTTAATTTTTGTCCCTATAATAAATATTTGTTTCTTGATTTTTAGTAAAAAAATATGTTTTTTTTTTCTATTTTGTGATATGTTTTTATTTTATTCATTAAAGTTTTATCATGTTTGATTTTTATCTTTATTATACTAAAACTAAATAAAGTTTTACTATCCTAAGCTTTTTTTTTCAATGAAACTTTTCTTTCGATTATAATTCTTATTTTGTGATTTTTTCTTTGTTTTGGCCATTGAATTTAGTAGAATTATATTTTTATTTTAGTCTTTATTTTGTAATTTTTTTTATTTTGATAATTAAAATTTTATTATATTTGATTTTTTTACTATGGGGAACTATTTTTTACTTTTAGTAAAACTTTTTGTTATGTTTTGGTTTTTATTTTGTGATCTTTCTTTTATTTTGATCATTAAAGTTTTATTATATTTGATTATTACTTTTTCTGTACTGAAGTTAAATACGGTTTCACTATTCTAAGTTTTTTTTTTTTTTGGCTTCTTGGAAAAAACAATTTCATAAGGAACTAATTTTAGTTATTATACCAAATGGACTGAAAAGACTTGAAAGTAATCAAATCGACCAAAATGACATCCTTACAATAAAAACAAAACATAAAAGCAACCAGGGCTTTATTCCCTTTACTAATAATAAAATAAAAAAACTTGTTCATGTCTGAAATAGGAAAGAAAGAAAAACTTAAATTACAGTTGAATTGAATTGAATAATGAATACATGGATCACTAGTGGGTTGCCTCGACTAGATTATATCTTATAAGACATAGTTCCACTATTTATTGAATTTAATGAAATAAATAGTTTGTAATACTATTGTTTCTTTAAGTTGAGTGATTCTGCAGCAAATCAGTTGACGACACTGCAAATCCTTCGTATCTCTCCTTGAGAACCAGTTAGCGGTTCTATATCTCCCATCCTTAACATGGCAGCGGCAAAATCAGAACTAAAAAGGGAAGGGTTCCTGCTGTACTCAGTAACAATGCTGTCTGTAGATTGACCACTGAAGAGCACTTGGTCTGATTGAAGAAGTCCCCTCCTTTGAATCAGATTCCTGAAGTAGTTGTTATCGAAAGAATTGGGTGTAACCAAATCAAGTGGTGCAAGATTATTATTTCCATTCCCAGGAGCAGCTGGACAATTGCGTTTTCGGGTGCTAGCAAAGCCAGCATCAATATCACTTGAGTTGTCGTATAATCTGCCTCGGAAGGTCACACATCTTGCTTGGCCTAGTGTATGTGATCCTGTATCACAATGAAATCTTTAGCCAACTTTGCAAGTAATGCATTCTTGTATTTAGATATATGTTTAGCCCTAGAAATTTTATGAAACTGAGGTTCTTATTGAGGCACGAACCTGAAAGGGCAACCATATCTCTTTCACTCAAACCTTTTCTGCTGAACAAGTCAATGAGGTCTCCAAGCGCAGCTGTAGTTCTAGGAAGATCTCTATCGGCTAAGCTTGGGCTCGCTGTAGTGGAGTCTCTTCTTCCAAGTCTCACCGTCCATGATGGTCCACCAACCTGTATTATAGATAGAAACCGCACTTGTAAATAGATTGATCATGCATGGTAACATTTGTTAAACAATCAAAGCTTACGTAACTAATGACTAAAAAACAACTGCTATAAAATTGAACAAGAAGTTTCCAAGTGCGGAATGTGTTTCTTACAGCAACGGATGCATCACGGGCCACTACAGCAGCAATGTCAGCACATGAAACAACTCCAGGACATATGCTCTCCACTTGAGCCTTGGCATCATCAATGACTTCGAATCCCCGGACCGAATTGTCATTGTTGAATGAAAATTTCTCGCTGTCTATTGAGGGAGAATTATCAAGCATGATCGAAGCATCACAACCCTGCAATGTATGCAAAAATCAGAACTTAATTACGTGTCAGTTCAAGATTGAAATGAACACTCGTTAGTATTAACGTTTTAGCCATCGAATAATTTACCTGAACAAAGCAATCATGGAAGTGGAGACGAATAAGGGATGCTGCCATTCTGCGCTCCCTCGAAACAGCTCTCCGAGTAGCAGTGCGAATTGTGGTCAGTGCATTCGGACATGTGCTGTCATAGAAGTTTGAAGAGAGTTGTGCTTGACATGGCAAGCTTGAGAAACTCAAGAATATGGAAAAAACAACGCAAGCTAAAGATAAACGAGAAGCCATTTTAGTATCCTAAGCAAAATATTAGCAAGAAATCAGTAGTAGAAAGTTGGCTGAAGCTAAAGAATTACTAGTAAACTTAGAGCGAATGAGGATGTGAATAGCACAAGCCTCACATCCTCTATATTTATAGACTGATCTTGATGCCTTGGATTGGTAAGGCTATGTGCCTAAGTTTATGACCTATTCATTAGACGACTCTTTGAAAAGTAGTAACCAGCTGATGGAGATCCTGAAAATTTCTGGGGTTTACTTTTATTTTCTCGGCATTTAATTTTTTGGTTACCTGATTATAAGAAAGGTCCAAATTGGCTGGTTGAATTAGTATTTTGTGAATTTCTTTACCAAAAGAGTGACAACAAGCTGTGGATGGACGAGGGCAGACATTTATGTTTTTTGGTCACTACTGCCTATATTACTTTTATTTGACTGAATATTAATATTTTTGCGGCGTTGAAACTATTTCAGAACAAAAAAGGGATTAGGACAAGTGAGCTTCTGACCAAACCTATCGCAATATAGTCTACTATTTTTTTCCCCTTTATTTAGTATTTGAATCATTAACTATATATAGATGGAACTTTTTGACTTCTATATATCCCACCAAAATCCTATACTCTTTGTTCTTATAATTATGGCATCTTCAATTTTCACACAAGATTCATAATTATATTATTTGATGTAGCATATTTACATGAATATATCATATTATATTACTGATTGATATAATTGCAGATATCATATCTCCTTAAAATTATATTTTAAATAGTATTATGATGGTGTGGATAAAGTTCCGATGAAACTGGTCATCTAACATTGCTAGTAATCATGCAGCAACGAGAAAAAAATTAATGACAGACGAATGCCTTCATCATAGCATATCGATTCCGTTTTTGTTGCATTGAATCTGATTTTTAAAGCGCCATAGTAGTTGCTCGATTACGCCAAAGTTGATTTATTTTCTGTATAAGTAACTAAGTTGGAACTATGTAAAAAGAAAAACAAAACAAGAAATAAAATAAAAGAGAAGAAGGCTAAAAAAGAGAACTAGGATGATGAAAGGCTGCCCCTAGGGATGAGCACAAGCGAACCAAACTATCATAATTTGATTTGTTCTATTCGGTTTGTTTAATTTTTTATTTGTTTGGTTTGGTAGTTCATAACCAATTGGAAACCAAAGAAACCATAATTATTTTTTTATTTTTTATTTTTTAAAAATAGAAAAATAAAAATCAGGAAATTTTATTTGGAAAATTTTGAAAAATGAATAACCGAATCAAAATATTTCAATTCGCATAATACAAATTTGGTTCAATTTAGTTTGGGTCGGCTTAGTTTTTAAAACAACTGAACTGAATAAACCAAAACTTGAACCAAACTACTATTGCTCACCCCTACTTGCTACGGGTGAGAAAATCACCAACAACGAAAAGGGTTTTTTAGTTGACCCAAGGGCTATAAACCTTACTTTTGATGGACTAACAAACTAATTTAATATAAATGGAATTATTGGACTGGAAATTATTTAATGTTCTATCTAAACATGTGATTATGCTAGACGAAGGCAATATTTTTAAGTAAATTTGCTTACGATGGACATTTCAAGTAAGAAAGTATCTTGAATTCTCTATATGTATCTTTCTTTCCTATAGATTTTAGCAAGAGAAAAGTGAAAGAAAAGTATCAAGAAAGAGAGAGGCCCACTTGCATATCATCAATTAACATCTTTCTTGAGAGATTAATTGGTTGAATTCTTGCATATTGTGCTATTGTGCTTCAACTTCGATTTATTTGATCTCGAGATAAGCATAATCATTTGGGTTTTTATTATTTTTAATAGAATTTTGTTCGAGTGAGTTTCACACCATAAAAAAGTAGGTTTTTCTTGAGTCTGAAAAAAGAGTAATTGTAATTGTAAAGGTTTTGTTCCTCGTCTGTATAAATTGGAACTTTGCAAATAGAAAAGTATAGTAGGCCGAGAAATTTCATTTTGTTCTTAGGGACTGGATGTAGCCATAGATAGACTAGGATAAATGCTTGTGTTTGCTTTCTCCATCCCTTCTCTCTTTAATTTATTGTTGTGTACTTAATTAGTTCAAGTCTATGATCTTTTTACATATTGTTTTTATCTTGTATGTTATTTTGTCTTTAAGTTTTGGCCATAATTTTTATTTTTCTTTACAAAGTTTTATTCATCCTTCGAAGGACTATTCAAACCCAACACTCCCCCACCCTCCCTTCTTTTAGTCCTTCATTTTTTCCCCTACGAAATAAGCAAGAGAAAGGCTGAACAAAGTTGATTTGGTTGGTCTAAAAGAAGAATAGACCAAAAGTTCCTAGATACTGTCCAAAACCATATTTTTGTTGTTTACATATTATTTAAGAGACGCATTAAAATATTGAAGAATGGCTGACTTCTTCAACGGGAAAAAAAAAAAAAAAAAAGTGTTGACTTCTTGAAAATCTATCATATTATTGAAATTTCCAATCTCAATCTAGAAGGGCACATGTACATAGTAAAGTTCCGAATCACTGTTTGTTAATCCAAACAATACCACAAAAAGAAAACAAACAAATTAAAAGGAAGGCTGCTCCGGCTTCCCGTTGTACTATCTCTCGATCACCAGCATGAAGTTAATTGAGTTATGGTATCCAAGCAAAAAGGGAATCCAAAATACGTATTTTTGCTTCTAATTAGCATGCATCCTTCGTTCATCTTTGCCTTTTTTTTTTTTCTTTTTTTTTTTTTTAATGTAAATATGGTGTATAGTGTTATATATATGCATGGTGGGTTATGCCATCACGAGCATCTTAAAAAAAAAAAAAAGCTTCTCACTAATTAAGAAAAAATTAATTGACCATTAAATTTTCGCCACTCTCTAGAATCAAATCAGGCTGTTCACTGTCTTCTATCTCATAATTGGCATATCCAAAAGGTTCATTTAAATCAAAGTAATATTTTCTCCGAAAATCATATTTAGTAGAGTCTTGATCTGCCATAGACTAAAAAAGTACCCACGTAAGAGAGAAAAAACAAGTTATTAAAGTGTACCCCAGTTTGCTCACTTCGGACATTCTTTTTTTTTTTTTTTTTTTTTTTTGGGGGGGGGGGGGGGGGTGGTGTTGGGTTATAAATAGAGGCATTGCAGTTCATTCAGTTATTAAACGTTAGGAGGTTAGCTAATAAATATATGATTAATCAGTTTGTTAAAATATATCTTCTTTCTTGTTAAATACGGTAGGAAAACTACGTTTACTGGTTTTCCATTAAGTACCAAAATATTGTTTTATCTGATTTGTTTTGGCAGGTTAAGTTTCCCTCCAGAACTCACTGTTAACAATTAATTATTTTCATGTGGTATAATAATTAATCATCATTAGTATTTATCTTTATCTGTTAGCTTTGTCTTTTTTCTTTACTAAAAAAAAAACTTATATGTTTGCTATTTAGTCTGTAGAAATTTGTAATATTACTACGGTTCGTTTTTCCGTTAGTATATAAATGATAATCAAACTTTGTAATTTAATCTAATTCAATTAAAGGTTAGTTTTGAACTTTGAAAATTTTGTAACTAAAAATTTTAACAGCCCTATAATTAAGAAAGTATTACTATTTAATTTGACCATTCAATCATCAATTTTAATTTTGATTAAATTTTAATCAAAATTTTTAGAAGAATTTGAGTAATAATATGTCGCTACCCTCCAAAAAATACATTTTAAGAGATATTTCCAAAGTCAATTATAAGTTTGGAGTCGCTACCTAATATTAAGGAACTATGAACCTAAAAGTAACACTCTGGTTTAGAAATTCTATAGTAAGGAGTTGGTTACATTTTTTGGAAAAGGTACCACGTCTAGTTTAGTCATAACTTTATCTCTTAAATTATTTTATTTATGCTAAATTATTTTTCAATTTGAAACTCCAATTTTCCAAGCCACATTAAATGTTTTTAGGTTTGGACATAGCATCGTATTGAAACGATCATCGATCTCCCTTCGTCGGGCGACACATCGGTTCAAACATCGGATCCACTTTAAACCTCTACACAACCAATGTATTAGAGGACATCCCGAATATAAGCATTGATTTTTGTAATGACAGATCCCTATTAGATAAGAGACTTCATTGAGAATTTTTTTTTCAAACAACATTTCCTATCAAATAAGAGATTTCATTGAAATTTTTTATTATTTTTTTATTTTTGATCAAATAACAATCCCTATCGGATAAATATGAGACTTCATTGAGAATTTTTATTATTTATTTTTGTAGATAAAAAAAATTATAGTCCCTAAAAAAATTAAGAGACTCGATAATTATTTTATCAAAATAATCAACTAACCTAATTATTAAGATCAATTCTAAATTTGATTCAGATACTAAATAAAGGAAAATAAAATAAAATAGTAGACAATGTTAAGATATGTAGAAGCTCAGTTGTCCTAATCCCTTTCTTGTTCTGAATTTTCCACGCCGCAAAAATATTAATTTTCAGTCAAATAAAAGCAATATAGGCAGCAGTGACCAAAAAACTTAAATGCCTACCCTTGTACATCGATAGTTGTTCACCCTTTTGGTAAAGAAATTCAGCTATATGCAACAAAACAATCGAAAAATACCAAATCAGCCAGCAAATTTGGACCTTCCTTAGGATTTGGTAAAAGCAAAATTAAATCCCATGAGAATAAAAGTAAACCCCAGAAATTTTCAGGATCTCTACCAGCTGGTTACTACTTTTCAAAGAGCCTTCTAATGAATAGGTCATAAACTTAGGCACAAAGCCTTACCAATCCAAGGCATGAAGATCAGTCTATAAATATAGAGAATGTGAGGCTTGTGCTATTCACATCCTCATTCGCTCTATAAGTTTACTAGTAATTCCTTAGCTTCAGCCAACTTTCTACTACTAATTTCTTGCTAATATTTTGCTTAGGATACTAAAATGGCTTCTCGTTTATCTTTAGCTGGCGTTGTTTTTTCCATATTCTTGAGTTTCTCAAGCTTGCCATGTCAAGCACAACTCTCTTCAAACTTCTATGCCAGCACATGTCCGAATGCACTGACCACAATTCGCACTGCTACTCGGAGAGCTGTTTCGAGGGAGCGCAGAATGGCAGCATCCCTTATTCGTCTCCACTTCCATGATTGCTTTGTTCAGGTAAATTATTCGATGGCTAAAACGTTAATACTAACGAGTGTTCGTTTCAATCTTGAACTGAGAGGTAATTAAGTTCTGATTTTTGCATATATTGCAGGGTTGTGATGCTTCGATCATGCTTGATAATTCTCCCTCAATAGACAGCGAGAAATTTTCATTCAACAATGACAATTCGGTCCGGGGATTCGAAGTCATTGATGATGCCAAGGCTCAAGTGGAGAGCATATGTCCTGGAGTTGTTTCATGTGCTGACATTGCTGCTGTAGTGGCCCGTGATGCATCCGTTGCTGTAAGAAACACATTCCGCACTTGAAAACTTCTTGTGCAATTTTATAGCAGTTGTCTTTTAGTCATTAGTTACGTAAGCTTTAATTGTTTAACAAATGTTACCATGCATGATCAATCTATTTACAAGTGCGGTTTCTATCTATAATACAGGTTGGTGGACCATCATGGACGGTGAGACTTGGAAGAAGAGACTCCACTACAGCGAGCCCAAGCTTAGCCGATAGAGATCTTCCTAGAACTACAGCTGCGCTTGGAGACCTCATTGACTTGTTCAGCAGAAAAGGTTTGAGTGAAAGAGATATGGTTGCCCTTTCAGGTTCGTGCCTCAATAAGAACCTCAGTTTCATAAATTTTCTAGGGCTAAACATATATCTAAATACAAGAATGCATTACTTGCAAAGTTGGCTAAAGATTTCATTGTGATACAGGATCACATACACTAGGCCAAGCAAGATGTGTGACCTTCCGAGGCAGATTATACGACAACTCGAGTGATATTGATGCTGGCTTTGCTAGCACCCGAAAACGCAATTGTCCAGCTGCTCCTGGGAATGGAAATAATAATCTTGCACCACTTGATTTGGTTACACCCAATTCTTTCGATAACAACTACTTCAGGAATCTGATTCAAAGGAGGGGACTTCTTCAATCAGACCAAGTGCTCTTCAGTGGTCAATCTACAGACAGCATTGTTACTGAGTACAGCAGGAACCCTTCCCTTTTTAGTTCTGATTTTGCCGCTGCCATGTTAAGGATGGGAGATATAGAACCGCTAACTGGTTCTCAAGGAGAGATACGAAGGATTTGCAGTGTCGTCAACTGATTTGCTGCAGAATCACTCAACTTAAAGAAACAATAGTATTACAAACTATTTTATTTCATCAAATTCAATAAATGGTGGAACTATAGCTCGAAGTACGATATAATTTAGTCGAGGCAACCCACTAGTCATTCATGTATTCATTATTTAATTCAATTCAAATGTAATTTGAGTTTTTTTCCCCTATTTCAGACATGAACAAGTTTTTATTTTATTATTAGTCAAGGGAATAGAGCCCTGGTTGTTTTTACGTTTTGTTTTTATTGTTATTATAAAGAAAGGGATATCTTTTTGGTCGATTTGATTACTTTCAAGTCTTTTTAGTTTTATTCCATGCATTTGGTGTAATAACTAAAATTAGTTGCTTATGAAATTGTTTGACATGTTTAATTAATTTCACAATATAAAGAAAAGTATAAGTCATATTAATTTATTTTTTTCATTGTAGGCCTAAAGGATTTAGCTAGGTTACACTGTGACTTTTATATGATATCTAATGAAATTAATTAACAAATCCTTGTGTAAATCAAAACACCACAATTAAATTATATAAAATTATTTTTGAAACCTGACCCAATAACTTAAATTATTGGAATGATTTTTTTTTTTTTTTTGGGGTAATGTCAAGTTTTGACAGTAAAACTTTCACACGTGCTCTCTCTCAATTAAAATTAAATATAATTAAACACAATTTCAAAAGGATTTCGGGTGGAAATAGTTATTTGACATTAGTTTTTTGAAAGTTTCAAATGTCAAAACTAACCTTTAATTGAATTAGATTAATATTACAAAGTTTGAGACTTTTTAACTTTATTATTATCTACTAACAGAAAAAAGAACCGTACTAATATTATGAATGTTTACTTATTATAAAGATAGACACTACTGATGATTAATTATTATACTAAATACCAAAAATATAAGGTTTTTTAGTAAAGAAAAAAGAAAAAGCTAACAAATAAAGATAGATACCAGTGATGATTAATTATTATACCGCAATAAAAATAATTAATTGTTAACAGTGAGTTCTCAAGGGAAACTTAATCTGCAAAAACAAATTAGATAGAACAATGTTTTGGTACTTAATGAAAAACCAATAAATTTCAAGCGTAGTTAATTAACAAAGAAAGAAGATATATTTTAGCGAACTGATTATTAATATATTCGAAGCGAGATATATTTCAGCTTCTCTCAAATTTTTTACTTTAGTGTAAAACAATCATATATCTACACTTTAATAGATTGTTTTTTCTCTTATGTGGGTACTTTTTTTTAGTCTATGGCAGATTAAAATTACTTTGATTTAAAAGAACCTTTTGGATATGCCAATTATGAGATAGAAGACAATGACCAAACAGATTTTTTTTTTCGCTATATATATAGCTAGAAACTTTGCAACCCACTTAATTGTTTGTTGTTTGAAGATTAACGTTAACAGTTAATAATTAGCGAGAGAGGAGATATAATTAAATTGCAACCACGAGACTCATGCAACTAATCTATATTAGTAGGTGTTGGCACCTCAAAATTTAAAAAAACATATGCCAATCAAGTATAGTATCCTTTTACGATGAAATAGTGAGACTTAAATGAAATAGCACATTTGATCTTATAACTAATCAAGTTTCGATGAAATAATAAGATTTGAATGAAATGGTGTGTTTGTTCTTATAACCGACCAAGCTCGATGAAATGATAAGACTTAAATGAAATAATGTATTTAGTCTTATAATCAGCCAAAATTTGACAAAACAACGTGTCTAAAGGAAACGAAGAGACAATTGCCTATAACTATTCACGCTCAACTTCAAATCGAAGGCGGTTATCGATCATGAGGTATTTAAAGAAGAGAAACTAACGGAATCGGACATCACAATCAATATATAAGACTTTTTCAATAAAAATTTATTCATGTTTTCTAGTTTACCTTGTAGCAATTAGCTTTTACATTCCTCTAAGTAGTTCAATAACATTTACTTCCTTCAATAGTTTTGTTATTATAAATTAAAAGAGTTGATATGTCTCCGATTATGGTCAAATAGCTTTGCGTTTTTTGATGGCTAATGATGTATGTGTCATATCTTCCCATTTATGATATTTACGCTTTTTCAAGTGAGTTCTATCTCTTGTGATTGACAAAATTCTCTCTATCCCTTGGGTGTTATTTTTTTCAATTAATAACATTCCTTTTATTTGATTTTTGACTTTAAATTGAGTAGCCACGAAAAGTCCTTGTAATATCTTGAACTTAAGAATAAATAAATTAATATATATTAAACATATATGAAAATTATCTTGTGTGCCTAGAATAATTTCTAGAAGGGTGTTAGAATATTTAATGCACTTAGGGTAATTTTCATGTGCTCGGTGAATATTTTATAGGATTTTTTGTGCATGAATAGTAATTTTTATGCAAATTAATTGCTTTGAGTATTTTAAATGTGTGTGAAAATTATTTTATGAGCATAGAAAAATTGTCGGAGAGGTGTAGGAATATTTCATGCACTTAAGTGAATTTTTCCGTATTTGGTGACTAGTTTATGTGTGAATAATGTATTTTTATGCAAAATAATTATTTTAAGCGCTCAAATGTGTGCATAAAATTTATGTCATTGATGAATAAATTATTATAGGAAGTGCATAAAAATCTAAGCTAGGTTGTTGGTTAAAGCCTTTTGTCGCTAGTCCGGCTTTGTACCGATCAATGATACCATCTACTTTAGTCTTCACATCATATATCCATTTGTTCCCAATGATATTGTATGAAGGTTAACGAGGAACAAGTTCCTAAGTATTGTTGTTCAATAAAGCTTACACTTCAGCAGCCATGGTTGTATGCTAATGAGAGTGGGACTAAGCTTATGTACAAGTTTGAGGTTCGAGTGTGATGAACAACAATGGTGAAGGCTTCGAGGCTTGAGACTACCGGCTTTAGTATGTCTAATCATCCCATGAGTGGGTGTGGGAGCTGGTTTGTGGGTAGTGGATGGATAATGAGCTGGAGCTAGATTAGCTTGTGATAATGGACAACGACCGAGGTCCACAATCAAGGATACTTGAAAATCGAAGTAAAAGTCGGCAAGGTCTATGGTGTGGGTGGTCGGTAGATGAGGTAATGATTGATGTGAATCTTGTTGTAGTGCTACAAGTGGATTTGGAATTTGTGTTAGGTGTAAGGATGCGGGCTATTAGAAAATATTTGGGCATGGCAATAGAATATTTAGGCAACATATATTCTATTATCATATTGTAGAAACAGAGCTTATCACTCCTTAATCATGCATCTATTCCATCAACCTTTTAGACCTATGCTCGTTGATGCTACCATTTATACTATCAATCACCTTCCTACCATAACCTTACATAATAAATCCCTTTATTTTACTCTTTTTGGTACCACCCCTCCAATGATGAACTTAAGATTTTTAAGTGCTTATGGTACCCATGGTTATGTCTTTATACTCGCATAAACTAGCACCTCGTTCTTCTTCTTATGTATTTTTGGGATATAGTAAAATTCACAAGGGTTATTTATGTTATGATCTTTCCACACAAAAAAAAAAAAAATGGATGTCTCACACCGTGTCTTGTTTGATAAATAAGTTTTTCCTTTTCTTTGTCGAGTTAGACTTTGCTAGTGTTCTATCCTCCATAGGTTGTTGTTCCTTTGCCACTACTAAGCCCAAATATTCCATTGCCATGCCCAAATACACCACTACAACACCTAAATATTCCTTTGCCACTACTAAGCCCAAATATTCCATTGTCATGCCCAAATACACCACTACAACACCTAAATATTCTATTATCATACCTAAATATTTTCTAACAGCCTACGTCCTTACCCCTACCATAAATTCCTATTCTAGTCATATCACCACAACAAGATACGCATAAGTCATTATTCAGCGAGAAAAGGTTTGAGTGAAAGAGATATGGTTGCATTTTCAAGTTTGTGCCTCAATAAGAACCTCGGTTTCAAAAAATTTCTAGGGCTAAACATATATCTAAATACATGAATGCATTACTTGTAAAGTTGGTTAAAGATTTCATTATGATACAATGTTAAGCCAAATCGATGCCGACCTACAATAACCAAGTGATGGGTGCAATTACAAACTTCTACAAGCAGCAGAGTCCATGCACGGGTCAACCTCCTTCATATGTAAATATGATTAAAACTATATAAAATTACTTTGTTATTATCTTGTAATTACTATCTTGTAGGAGTTCTATACAATCTAAGTTTGTAATCACTCGTATAAATATAGTTACGACAACATAATAAAATACACGTGAAAGACTATTTATCATCTTCTTTTTGTGTTAAGTTTTAATTTGGTATCGGAGCGTTCTCTATTTGGCATCACTACTATTCCCATTTGTATCCCTAAACAAAATAAATGACTTCCTCAAGTGTAACCTCATCCGACAATGATAACTTTACCGCATCAAAAACCATTCCACTAAGTCAACTCACCAACTCCCACCATGTTCTCTCTCTTAAACTCACTCACACAAACTATATATTATGGCGTGTACAAATGAAGCTCTTCCTTCTTGGCCAAGGCCTTTTCAACTTCAATGATGGCTCCAACCCTTACCCTCCATAAAACTCCACTTCCATCATTACCGACCTCCCACGGCCCTCCTAGATCCAAGTAGGACCAGCCTATTGATGAGCACCCTTATCTCCTCCCTTTCAATTGATGTGCTCTCATTGATCATTGATTGCACTACACCCCGTGATGTTTGGACTGTCTTTGAGAGCAACATTTTTTTCTAGCACATGGATCATGACCCCGCATCTATCACTACAAAACTTTGCCGTAACACAATGAACTCCGTGTCTCAATTCCTACACCGTGCCAAGTCAATCAATGATGAACTCACTATAGCAGGAAAAGTCTTCGTTCCTATAGGCTTTAATCTATATGTCTTTAAAGGCATCTCTAGTGACTTCAAATATATCATCACCACCCTCTCTACAAGACCAAAACTTATAAACTTCATCGATCTCCACAGCTTTCCTAGTCAATCATGAATTTTTAAACACTAAATCCTTGTCTGCAGACCACCATTTCACCACTAAAATCTTCCCCGTTACCAACCCCTCCCATTGCAAACCTTATCAACAAACACAATATCCCACCTAATGATTGTTTCAACAACGATAACCGTAGTACGGGTAGGTAGTTTCATGGATCCGGGCATGGCAAGTTCCCATCACGTTATGGTAATCCTCACTATGGGTCCGAAAACGAAACAACCGGCACTCAATTGAACAAAGACAAAAATGCCAACTTTGCTCATCATGGAATCATATAGTACCGCATTATCCCCAAAGACAGCTTTCCTCATCCTCAACCATCTGCTAACATCTTTGCTACTTCCTCTGCTGCCCCATATGCCCTATCTTGGTGTTCGGACACCGGTGCTTCACATCATGTAACATTAAATTTGTCTAGCTCCAACATGTATGAGCCCTACATCAATCTTGATCAGCTTTAGGTTGATAATGGTGAGTACCTAAAAATTCTTCACATAGGCACTAGTTCTATTTCTACACCTACCAAAACATTATAATTACTTGATATCTTACATGTTCCCGAAATAAACTCATCCATTACTTTCGGGAAAAGACTAGCCCGTGATAATAACCTCTTCTTTGAATTTCACCCCTCTACTTTCTATCTCAAGGATCGGTACACAAGAACCCTCTCGCTTTGAGCCACAGTGATGCCGATCTCTATTCCTTACCACCTCGTTCCATCCGCCCCTCTCCCCAAGTTCACTTTGCACGTGTCTCTACTTCGATCCGGCACTCTCGCCTAGGACATCCCCATAATAAAGTCCTAAGTCTTATTTAAAAAAAAATTTCTTTGTCAAATTCTAGAACATTATCTACTCCTTGTTTGTCTTGTCCATTAAGAAAAGCAATTCGTTTATCTCTACCATCTTTAAAAAATTTAAATACTAGTATCTTTAGCTTAATTTTTAGCGATGTATGAGGACCTTCATTACCTTTCATGATGGCCATAAAATACTATGTCATTTTCGTTGATCATTTTTTAAAATTTATATGGTTCTATCCATCGCACAAAAAAGTTTGATGTGTTTGATTCATTTGTTACCTTTCAAAAAATGGTTGAACGCCAATTTAACTATAAAATTAAACAAGTACAAACAGATCGGGGTGGAGAATTTTGAAGCCCGATAATACTTTTTAAATCCCTTGGCATCATACATCACCTAATGTGCCTTCACACCCACGGACAAAATAGAACCGTTGAAAGACGACACCTATTAGGTGAAGCTAATTTCCTAAAACAGCTTTTGGCATTTTTCTTTTGACATAGTTGTCTTCCTCATCAATAGAATACCTTCTCTCACTAATGACAATATTTCACCTTTTGAAAAAGTCTTTAAGAAAAAAACTTGATTACTCGTTTTCAAAGGTTTTTGGTGGTTTATGTTTCCCCTTTTACGTCCCTATAGTAGACATAAAATGGACTTTAGAACAACCCCATGCATATTTCTTGGATATAGTCCTTCCTATATAGGCTATCGCCGTTTGGACAATAAAACAAATTGTTTTTACATTGCTCGTTATATTTTTTTTGTCAAATCCATATTCCCCTCTACAGAGTCAACTATAAAACCCTCTATAATCCCACCTACCTCATCACTTCCAAGGGCAAGTCTACCCGTTACACATTCTTTAAATCTTACTAGCACCCCTTACTCTACTTCGTAGGTCAGCATCACTATGACACCTCAAATGTGTCCCCACACCAACAAGCAACATAAGCTCAGCTTACACCCCATATGGAATAAGACTTCCCCCTTCCCCCGTCACAACTATAATGCCTCGTACCCGCTAAAATAAAAATGTAATATAGTTTAATATTAAAATCATGTGAATATATATATATATATATATTGAGAACGAGAAATAATTATTAGAAACTTAAAAGAATATTTAGAAGGGTCAAAATAGTTTTTCATGCTTAAAGAATATTTTAGTGATTTTTCGGTACATAAATAAGTAGTTATTGCATGAGAAAATTAATTAAAGCATGTTGTTTGTATATGAAAAATATTTTTTTTTAGAATAATTGTTAGAAGGGTGTTAGATTCTTTTATATGATTTTGTGAATTTTTCTACATATAGTGAGTATTTCATTGAATTTTCTAAGTGTAGGAATAGTGTTTTTAGAGGTAAAGAATTTAATTAGGCACCTTAAGAGTATGAGAATTTTTTTTCAGAATATATAATAATCATATAGGGTGTGTGAGAGTGCCTAGAAAATTTAAATTAATTTTAGTAAGTATAGGGAATATTTTTTATAGGAAAAAGTGTAATTTTCATACTAAATAAATAAATTGAAGGCTCAAATTAGGGCCAAAAATTATGAAAATTTAAATCAAACTCCCTTAATGAATTTTTGAATTTATTCTAGAAATAAATTTTATTTTTGAAAAGTATAGAATGGAATTTTAAAAGAAGGGACTAAATTGCATAAAATTAGGGACTAGATTGCATAAAATTAGGGACTAGATTGCATAAAATTAAAAGTCTAACAATCCAAATTAAATTATGTCAGAATTTTAAGGGTTAAAATTAGTCCCAAACACTAAAAAAGAAGGATTAGAAGTTCGTTTTTGCATAAAAGAGGGACTTAGGAAAGAATGAGCTATGGAAAAGTCTAGAAACTTGGAGGACCAAAATTTGTCATTTTCCTCCCAATTTTGGCCTACCTAGAGCATTAATTAAGTACAACTTTCAAGTAACAATTATGGAAAAAAATAAGTAGGGTGGAAGGGTTAAATAGAAAGGTGAATAAATGGCTAAAAATTAGGACAAATGCAAATAAATGATTGGAAA